GGGAGAAGCAGACTCCCTGCCGAGCAGGGAGCCCGATGCGGGACTCGATCCCGGGACTCCAGGATCATGACCTGAGCCGAAGGCAGTCGCTTAACCAAGTGAGCCACCCAGGCGCCCCAAGGCATAGAACTTTCTACTCCTGTCCCTGAAGTCATCGATTACTAGCCTCTAATCTTAGTGATAGTAAATATGCAACTATTAATTCATTCCATTGTTAATCTTTAGAACTGCTTTTGAGTGACAGCAAATTTGACAGAACTCCTAAATGGGTCATTTAATCATTTCTTTTTGATTTTGAGTTTAGATAACCAGACTCAAAGAATGTCCTGAATATATATTTGGTGCATTTTGTGCTTTTAGGAATTGTCTTTCCTTTTTGTGATACTGTCAGCTTTTTGAGCAATCTGGAAAAACCGTGTACTTTGAAAGGAGGTCCACATGTCACCGCTTCTCAGACCTGTCTTCTTTTGCTCCATTCACTGTTCCATGAGTTTTAGATGCCTGAGTGGTTATAACTGAGTGCTTATTCACACTCAGGGTGTGCGTACCTTGAGATTGGAGACTGTCTTTCTAACTCTGTGTCCTCCCATATTGCACCAACACCCATGCCCTGCAGAAAAGCCATCAGTAAATGTTTGTTGAGTCAAAATAAAACTCTCAAAAATTCCTTCGAAAAGTATTGGAAGTTAACTAAACTTAATACCTATTATTAGTTGCCTGGAAAACATAGTGTTCCCGTGTTCATTGTTGTTTTCTACTAGGTTCCATGCAAATGCTGGCATGTTGAATGAGCAGATAGCCTGTATTTAGTCTGTGTAGTGGCATTTCAAACCCCCTTTAAAGTAAACTTGAGTTCCTTTTGATTAGTCCTCTTGGACTAAGAACATACCATTTTTATTTTGTTAAATCACTGTTCGTGAAATGTATTAGAGTAGTGGCTTTAAACATTGAGGTAACTGCATAAAAGAAAGCATTGTTTTTCTTTTTTGTAGGACATGTTCTTCAAATATACGTGGAATAACTTTTTACATACACAAGTGGAAATTTGTATTGCACTGATCCTTGCAAGTCCTTTTGAAAATACAGAAAATAACACAATTACTGATCAAGACTCCACTGGTGACAATTTGTTACTGAAACACGTAAGCTTACTGGGGTCTCTCTGCCGTTCCTGGTTATAGCATTTTCCCACTTCAGTGTGAAATGAATTGGAATTTAAGGGCGGGAGTTAAATCTCAAGAGTCCAGGTATTTAACTCTTGTGTTCGTCACACTGTTAGCCGGTGATTCTATAAAGCATATCCTGGGCAAATAAGCATTAGATGAACTTTTTAAAAAAAAGTCTTAAGTGGCCTCCTTATTTGCTAAAAACAATCAAGTTAAAGACTTAGAAATCTTTTGGAGATCAAAAGAACCATAAAAATTTAAAGACTGCAGAAAGCGTTTGAACAGTTGTTTGGCGTGCCAGTTCTAATTTGTGGGCTAAACGCGGGACAGATGGGTGGCAGAAGTGGGCTCTGTGCCATGTTGAGTGAACCTCTTCTGTGGGTCTGTTTCCTTTTGTTCAATATGAGGTGGCACTAAGTCAGTCTTCACACTTCTTCTTGCTCGGGGGTTCTGTGGTGTATGAAATTTCCTAGCTCACGCTGGCTTCCTGCCAAACCTGGGAGACGGGAGAGGCTAGCCACCTGGAGTAACAAGTAGGAGGGAAAGACCGCTGACGCCGCGCGCATCCCGACAGCGTCATGCGCGACGCTGGTTTTCAGTCGGAGCGCGGTAACGGCCGCGCGGCGGCAAGTCCGCTCACGTTTCAGAAGCACAAGTATTGCTGCGGGTTCTCAGATAGGGTTTTGCCAGGGCCTTATCTTCTTGATTCCTTTTAAATTTTGGTCAGGCTCTGTATTTCTGAGCTCACGACTAAAAAAACCTGGCTTTGCTTTAGGTCAACTACTCCCCGGAAGCGGTGCTTGAAATGTTGCTTCCCAGTAGCTACACTGCTGAAGGCGTGGATCCGGTCTCGAATCCCTGTAGTGTTGTGACAGCCTTGAGTAAATTTATTATAACATTGCATAGGATATAGCCAGTAATTCACAGCTAGATTTAACTTGCTGGGTAATACGTAGCACTGTTCTATTTGAATAGAGTTCTGTTTCACTTTAAAATATGGACACTTTGACATTTATATGCATGTTAACTAGAATATTCCTTTGTATTTAGCTTTTTCAAAAATGTCAGCTAATAGAACGGATACTGGATGCCTGGGAAATGAATGAGAAGAAACAGTAAGTAAATTGTTTTCCTATAGAAATTCACTGTGATTTTTAATTTGAAGAAAAGATCTGCCTTGCCTTAGAGAACAATGAAAATAATTACGTGGTAGCAGGCCACTTTATAGTTATAAATGTTTCTCTCGGGACTTCTGGATCATTTATCGTAGCAGATCTTTTTCTAACAATTTATTTTTAGAGTGCCTGTGTTTCTACCTCTCTTGAGGGGAATCCAGGGGCTGGCTGCCTTTGAAACTTCCTGGTCCTGTTTGAATAGCTGTTTTTCTGGCAGGAATGTGGAGACTAAAAAAAGTCAAGTCCTCCCTGATGATGCTTTAACTTAACAGGTTCGTCCTGCTTACCCCATGGACTCACTGTAGAGAGAGTCCCTTCGTGTATGGGAGGAGGATGGGGGGTGGTTAGCCTGGTATTTTTTAGAAAATTTCTGTTAGCTGATTGGCAAGATTATTTGAAGTATTGACACGTGTAGGTAGCTTTGCCACACACATTTTTTTTCTCTCCCGTGCCCTGGGGGCTTTTATACCATCCTGTAGATTCTGAGGCAGGTGGCATGGGGTGTGTTTGGGAAACACTCTCAGGGCACGCTTCTTGTGTTTGTTGTTTAAGTCCGGTTTATTGAGGTATAATGCTCATAAGGTGAAAGTTGATCCTTTTTTGGTGTACACGTCTAGGAACTCTGATGAATGCGTGCAGTTCATGCACGCACGAGAGCTGTGATCAGGCACGAGAGCATTTCCTTGGCCCGAAAAGTTACCTCGTGTGTCTTCATAATTGAACCTGTGCCAGGAATTTTCTTGCTCTGTGTATCTGTTCAGATCTCTCTTGTGGCCCCTGGAAGAGCTGGGAACTAAAGAAAGGTGTCAGCCTTATTCTGTAAGGCTTGGTTTTTTAAAAGTGCCTACTAGCACTGATAGGGCTCTGACTTGACTCTGGGAAATATGCATTTAGTTTGAGTGTAGCAGGGGCTCATCTCGGTAGACCTCAGGTACATTCTTCCAAATGGAGCTCCTTTGGGGGGGTTCTGTGTGTGGCCAGATCAACATCTCTGGTTTTGTGTTTGACCCCACGTTAGCCACTTTGTGCCCTCCTGACCTCCCTTGCTCTCTGCCTCCTCCTCAGTAGTGCTGAGGTGTCCTGTGCACTCTGTTTCCCCCCTGCTCCATCCTCCGGAGGCTTGACTATTAATAGTCCGCCGATTGGGGCGGGGCGGGGGGGTTCCTGAAAGAGTTTTTCTAATGTTCCCTTGTCCCAGAAGCCTAAAGAATGTTGAGGGCCTTGGGGCAAAATACTGGCAGGTGGGCATTTGTTTTCACTTGTGGGAGCACGACACGGCATCGGACTGAGAAGTTGCCTGCGAGGAACCCAGGGGTCTTGGGATCTTCTTGTGAAACCAAAAGAGGCTCTTAGCAACTCAGTTGAGATCAGCTCTGTGCCTCTGACCCTTAGCTGTCCCCAGACCTTCTAAGATTATTAGCAGATATTCTGTTTTTCAGGCAAGCCTTTAAGCATAGTACAGCTTTTTTAGCGGCTCTTGAAATTTCGAGTCTCCCTTTAAACAAAAATCTGTTCAGTTTGTTCCCTCCTATCTGCAAGCAAAGTCTTTTGTGTCATAGAATTTAAAGTTCTGACGCTTTATAAATAGGCAGAGAAATCACAGCAATGTGAAAAGTGTATCTAAATAGGTGGATTTGGGGGGCATTTGGGTGGCGCAGTTGGTTGAACATCCGACTCTTGGTTTCAGCTCCGGTTGTGATCTCGGGGTCGTGGGATCGAGCCCTCTGTCAGGCTCCACGGTCGGTGCAGAGTCTGCTTGGGACTCTCTCCTCTCCCTCTGTCCCCGCCCCCCCAAAATAAATAACTAAATCTTAAGAAAAAAAATAAATAAATGGGTGGACTTGGGGCACTTGAGTGGCTCAGTCAGTTAAGTGTCTGACTCTTGGTTTCAGCTCAGGTCGTGATCTCAGGGTTGTGAAATCAGGTCTCCGTGCTAGGTATGGAAACTGTTTGAGATTCTCTCTCTCCCCCTCTGCCCCCAATGAGTGAGTGAGTGAGTGATAGGTAGGTGGGTGGATTTAGTAAAGATGGGTCCTGCTTAGGAGGTCCTGCTTAAGTGGGGGAAAGGGGCATTGCTGGCCGAAGACCAGCTGACTACCCATCGCCTTGGCCAAATCCTCAAAATCAGCCACTATTTTAACTTGAGAAATGCCACTGGTAGGCGATTATGTCTGTTAATTGAACTGAGATTATGAAGATTTGATGTCTTTTAGCAAAATTCTCACCTTATGTTCCTATAGTCTTTTTAAAATCTGAAAAAATAGTTTCATAAAAAGATACAGAGGAAAGTCACAGAAACATTAGGTATCAGTGAATGTTTGGGCTTTTTTTTAAGGTAATATGTAATTGAAGATTAATGATTGGTTTGTATGTGGAATAAACCTTGCTGGGGCGCCTGGGTGGCTCAGTCCTTAGGCGTCTGCCTTCGGCTCGTCCTGATCCCAGGGTCCTGGGGGAAAAAAAACCTTGCTGAGCATGGCCACCATGGGATCCTTGAGCAGCCCATTTCTGCCACTCCCACCCCTGCCTGACCTGATGACTCCGGCACCTCCTTTTCTGTCCATTCTCATCTTTAGGGCCTCAGTTTTTAGAATGATCGCTCCAGCCCACTGTATTTATTAAGCTGCTTCATCATTCCATGCGATCAGGAGTCTGAGTCTTTGTCCTCTCCCCCTGTCAGGGCCGAGGGAGGCAGACGGCACGGCTACATGGGACATCTGACAAGGATAGCTAACTGTATTGTGCACAGCACTGATAAGGGCCCCAACAGTGCATTAGTACAGCAGCTTATCAAAGGTAAGTGCTTTTTGAAAGTTTAATTATATTTTTGTTGGATTGGAGAAAGGATTTAAGGGTAAAGTGGAAATAATCATAGCGTTTTTAATAGCAGTCTTTGGAGTTTCTTTATACTTTGCAAATTATCTGGAGATTGGAATGAAGTTCTTGAGAATGTGTTTAAACAATGTAGTTCTTTGCTGTATGTCTCATGTCTGCAGTCCTTTTAGTGAGTATTGGCAGGCTCGGCTGAGGTACCCACTTTCACTCTCGAGGAGCCTGCTCAGTGCGCTGCTCCAGTGTGCACGGGGTCCCCACGGGCTGACTCTTGGGTCACTTGAGCTATGATCAGATGCTTGCTTTTTATTTTCTTCTGAAAGCCCCTACATAGCCTGTGGATTGAGTTCCTTTAGCTGGGATATTAAAACATTGATCCGCATGTTTGCCCTCTCTCTCTTACTGAGATGAGGGGTGGTGGACCCTAAAGGACGCTTTCCATACCAGCATTTGAATGGAATCAGCCTGAGGTGCCCAGGCTGTGAGTCTGCCTCTAAGCTGAGAGCCCTAAGAGCTCTGTGGACTCTAGGGTTTGGACCAGTCCTGTGACTTACCCTGAATGTGAAAATCTTTATCCCCTGGGGTACCGAACTCGTCCAGGCTCAACTTGCTAAAACTGGACATCGTTTCCAGGTCTATTCTCTTTGTCTTTAAAGTATGTCTGTGTGTTGGAGAGGCTGTCACCTCTCGAGCACGCACTGAAAGAGCTGCTCCAGGTAAGGGGGCAGTTGGGGCTTGCCCCGCTGTAATTTTGCTTCTTGAGAGAGGTACAAGCCAGACCATCACAGCTGATGTTCTTACCAAGGAGAAATGGTCACGTGCATGATCATGTTCCTTAGATCAGCCTTTGTTGTCCCGAAGTCGCTCACCAGGTGGTGTGGGGAGGACATACACGCATGCATGTTGAAACCGCAGTTGTGAGAAGACAGCTCTTGTAAGGCCTCCAAGATTATAGCCAGAGTTTCTTTTTCTCAGAAAAAGTATTTGTGTATCCTTTTTTTTTTTTTTTTTTTTAACTTCTCTAGAGGGGCTCCTGGGTGGCTCAGTCCGTTAAGCATCTGCCTTTGGCTCAGGTCATGATCTCAGAGTCTTGGGATCAAGCCCCACGTCGGGCTCCCTGTTCTCTGCCTCTCTCTCTGCCCCTTCCCTCCGCTTATGCACACTTGCTCTCTCTTACTCTGTCAAATTAATAAAATCTTTAAAAATAAATAAATAAAATTTCTGTAGTAGGTAGAATTTCACTATTGCGTATGTATCTCCATGTTGGTCTCTGGGCACAGACATTTAGAAAACAGCCAGACTGGGTTCCATGGAGCATTCACTGGCCACATGCCAGTCACAGTATCTGACGAGTGTGCAGACGCTTTCGTTGGCAGCATTTCCCAGATTTGAATGGTCATGGAAAAAGACGGCTTTTCCTCTCACCTTTATTAAAGACCTGCTAATTCCTCAGAAGTTTGTTGGAAACACATTTTCCAGGTTCAGTTTTTACCAAAAGATTTTTAAAAGCTTGTTAAATTCACAGAGCTGCTTAACACCCTTGTCATCAAGCATGGGCCGTTTTGGGGGTGGTTCTGGTTCCTGAAATTCCTGGGGCTTAGGCTGCAAGGCTTTATAAACTCTGTTTCTTCAAGAGTCAGGTGCTCAGATGATGGGACATGTTTGCCTTGGATGGACTGAGTGGGTGGCACTCTCTTGTATATCCTGGTTTTTTGTTTTTTTTTTTAATGTGTCTGTGTGGAGGTCACTAGAGTGACAATGCCTTTTTCTCTTTCTCCCTCTGCAGACCTTCCAGATGCAGTCAGGGAGCGGTGGGAGGCGTTCTGCACAAGCTCCTTGGGAGAAACTAACAAGAGGAACACGGTAGATCTAGTAGGTTTTACCAGGTCACATTTCTGTGACCCCAGTGCTCTCAGCCTTTGCCTGCTTATTCAGAGATGCAAGATCTTTCGTTTGTCTCGGTGATTTGGGGCCAAGAATAAGTTTATGTTTCTTTACCAGGAAGAGAGGTCAGTGTTCACCATATTCTTGATAACTTGTCTAGTCAGCTCCTAATTCCTGCCTGGGATGACCAGAGGGTACAGAGAGGCCACTGATCTCTACACTCCCCTGCCCCCCCCTTTTCCTCAGTGCCCTGTTCCCCAAGCACCTCTACTCTGTTGGGTTTGTTGCCTTATGCCTCAGATAAGCCTGGGTGGTTAGAAACCTCAGGATTCCTGTGGGTGTTTTTTAACGTTACTCAGTTACGTTTACCCTCATTTTAGATTGTTCCCAGGGTGGGGGCAAGGGGTGGGATTTTGTAGGTGACTTTGAAACCCCATCTTTAACAGATTAGTACTTTTAGCCAGGGAATAATGGCATTGATAATATTTTTTAAAATTATATTGGACTTTGGAATGTATTCTTTGTTTTTTTAATGCATTAAGATTTAAGGTAAGTATTGCTTTTGCTTTTGCTTTTAAAGATAGGGAAAGCATTTCCTTTCGTAAGCACATGCCAGCTGATAATTGAGGTGGTGACCTTAACTCTGCATGGAAGTAGATGTGTCAGGCATTTAATTCTATGAAATGCAGCAGCTGCAGTCTGAATTTCTAATACACACTAATGCCTTGCTTGTTAGGCAGTCAGGTATTTGGCAGCCTTATCAGTTCAGAGCAGAGTTTAGAAACAGAAAGACTCTGGCGGCTACAGAGCGGTCACTAGGTCTTCCTGTGTCACACCCCCAAAGGGCCGTTGCCTACTGCTTGGTAGATTGTCTAACACATTGGGTTATCTTTTTCCAGCCTCTTCACAGATTGGTTGGGTAATGGCTTGTTAAGGATGGGTGTAATGATAGAATCAGTAGGAGTTGGAAGAATGATGAAGTTAAGAGATGACTATAAGGGGAGCTGTGTGAGGCCATTTAATTAAAATATGTCTGATGGCCCTCGGTGTCTTAGTGCATCATAGCCCAGCAGAGAAACTGGCATCCACTTTGACAGCCCTGAGTCATCAAGGAAGAGTTAAGTAATTTTTGATGAACATACTATCCACAGTGGATTGCTTTTTTCCCCCAATCAAATTGATTAAAAATCTGGATAATCAGGGTTTATTGTAGGGTGAAATTGTTCTCTTATAGTGTTAAATGGAACCGTTTAATTTAGAAGCCCCATATTGATTCTTTGTTAAGGATGCAGGCAATGTGGTCTCCTTTAAGGGATTTTTGTCTTACTTCTTATTTATAGGAATATTACACTTGATCTTAGCCAAAAGGCCGAGAATTCTGATTTTGTTTGGGAAACTCCTTTAAAACTTGTCCTTCAAAGGATTGACTTCAGAGGTAGACTTCAGAAATGTCCAGTTAAACTTGTTGATATCAGGAGTTTTCAAAAATTTACCTTTGGTAATTCAAATTCATTTCCCCTGTGAGCAGTTCTGTGTAAAGAAAGACCTCATTGCAATTCAGATAACACTCAGCTAGTTTGCATGATGCTATCAGTAATCTGGTCTGTGACTGTGTAAATGTTATGTATGTCTACATAATGGAACGTGAACATGCGGTGTGCAGGTAACATGCAGCAGACACATCTAACATCTAGATTTTTACACCTGTGTGGAAGGGAAAATTATCCTGGGCCCACCTATCACTAGTGGCAGCTTAGTTCTCTTTTGCTAGTAGTAGTCAGACTTCTAGAGCTCTGGTGATACTGCTCATATCCCATGTTGAGTTAGCCCCACTCTGTAATTTTATTGTCCATTGGGACTTTCAGGTTGATGTCTCATGACCTGTTCAGTTCCTTGATCCCACATGCCCAGTACTTAAATACCACCTCCCTTTAGTTTTAAGGCCTTCCAGGAGGGAATTTTGCTTTGTTTCGTATTTTTAGGGATACACACGTTCCAGGTTTTTGAGGATGCTTAAGCATCCTAAGCCACAACGGAGACGTTCACTGCAGCCTTCAGGCTCTCCCCTTTTGTGCCCAGAATGTTTCAGATTATATCCTAGTGGGGGTTAGAGACCATGTTCCAGTGAGTATTATAAACCCAGCTTGATAAATGCAGTGGGTCTTGCCCTTGCAAAAATGTGCTACAGAATGGGAGTTTCACACTTCATGGAGCATGAAGTCTAAGTAAAAGCCATTCCTAAAATTGGCAGTTGAGTAATAGATTGCTTAGTCCCCGTCCCCTCCCCAAATAGATTAGATTAGATCCCCCGTCTTGATGCCTTGACTTATTAGTTGGTTTTATGATGGCTCTGATACCTCTCTGAGAGTCCTTTCCAGTATATTTATAGGACTTGAGTCACTTGTAGTTCAGCACCAGATGTTTGGGTTATACCTTGTTACATGGCCCTGGCCTATTCTTACGTTCTAGCCACAACAAGGATTCGTTCATTAATGCACCAGACACTTACTGTGCTACTGGCTGTGGGCCTGAGGTCTGCTCACTGATGCAGGAAAACCTGTGTCAGTCCCAAGCTCTTACCACTTCTGGGGCAGCATTTGAATTACCCTCTCTCTGAGGTCTTTGAAGTCCCTCAATCTGTTGACCTAATCACACCCAAGTATATACACAGTGGACTCATAGATTGTTATGTTTTTATGTTGGGAGTTTTATTATGAATGAAATTTGGTATATTACTTACATCCAGAGACCTCTTTGTGGGTCTGTTGGTAAAAATGGGTAAACATTTAGACCTAGTATATCTAGGTAACATAGATGTATTGGTCCTGACTATGGAAGGCTGAGTTTGCTTCGTTCTCTGCCTTCCTTTCCATGGGGGAGAATGTTTTCTTCTGAAGTATTGGTGCTTCTTTCTCATCACTGATGAGCTTGTCCAGGGCGGCTGTGGAGAATGATACACATGTGCAGTTGTGAATTGCCTACAGATCCAGCAGGTTGGAGTAGAACCTCCCAGAGTTTGTGTTTCTAGCCAGCGCTGGTCATGTAGATGCCAGGGGCCCACAGCAGGACCCCGCCGTAGCCCGGAGGAAGAGTCTGTGACTTCCACATTTCACTTAGATTAACGTTCCAGTCATGCTTATGATCTTTGTAGTAAGCCAGTCAGCCAAGATGAAAACACTCACTTGCTTTTCCTGTAACAACAGTTAATAAAACTGAAATTTTATTATGAAAGAAGCTCACTGTCTTGAAAGCTTTTAGTCACTGAAGCATCAAGAGTTTACTTAGAACACATGTGGCTTGGTCAGAGTGTTCTTACGTACTTGTTACTTGTTTGACAGTTAAGACTGTGTTCTTATTCGGTGGTGTGTTGGGATTCACTAATGCTGTAAGTATTTGAGTGACTACTGTGTGCCAGGCACTGAAGCCATTGTAGTAAACTTGATTGGTAAAAATCCCTGCCTCGGTGGAAACGGATGAACTCCAGGGAAGGGAGCCGGGGTTTGTTTTGGGTGGAAGTGCAATTTAGGATTAGGCAGTCTAGGAAAACCTCCTTGAGAAGGTCACATTTGTGTAGAGGCTTGAGCGAAGTGAAAGAAGAGCTAGTGCAGAAGCTGGTGTGTTGTCCAGAGGGAGAGAACGGGATGTGAGGTCCGAGGGGCTCTGCAGGCCAGATCTCATACTGCTTTTACTCCACACAGGCCCCTTGGTTTGTAACCTTAGTGAGATGAAAAGCCATTAGGTATGGAATTGAGAAGGGACATAATCTGATGGACATTTTATTTATTTATTTATTTTTAAAGATTTATTTTTATTTATTTGACAGAGAGAGAGAGAGCGAGAGAGGGAACACAAGCCGGGGGAGTGGGGGAGGGAGAAGCAGGCTTCCCGCCGAGCAGAGAGCCCGATGCGGGGCTCAATCCCAGAACCCTGGGATCATGACCTGAGCGGAAGGCAGGTGCTTAACCGACTGAGCCACCCACGTGTCCCGTGATGGACATTTTAAAAGATCGTTACGGCTGCTGGATTGGGAATAGACTGTAGTGGGGCAAGAGATCACACCAGGGAGACCGGTTGGCTGCCAGACAAGAGATGGTGGTGGCTTGCACTGGAGAGAGGTGGTAAGGGTGATGCAAAGTGATGGGCTTTTAGGTGATGTTTTGACAGTGGAGTGAATGGGGGTGGGCGGGGACAGAAGAAACCAGAAGGCCAATTTTAGCTGAGGAAGAAGGAGAAAACAAGGGGCATCTGCTGAGATGAAGATGCCTCAGAAGGTGTGTTTGGAAGTTTCTGCTGGGGACTCTGGTGGCTGCATCTGTGTGATGGACTAAGTGGGGTTCCAGTTAGCAAGTCCCCCTCCCCGCTGGGGGTTTGGTGGATTCAGTCATCTTTGTAGCCTGTTTTATTAGTAACGGTTTCAGACCAGGTATGGTGTGGGTAGAATCAGAATCACCACATCTTTCAGTACATAAATGCAGAAGTATGCATATATTGTGTTATTAATAACTTTCTAAAACTTTCTTTTTGGAGAAAAAAGTATTCTTTTCAAAGATTTTATTTATTTGACAGAGAGAGAGAGAGAAGGAACACGAGCAGGGGGAGTGAGAGAGGGAGAAGCAGGCTTCCCGCTGAGCAGGGAGTCCGATGCGGGGCTCGATCCCAGGACCCTGGGATCATGACCTGAGCCGAAGGCAGATGCTTAACGACTGAGCCACCTGGGCGCCCCGAAAAAATTATTTTAAATACCTCTCAGAATTGTTTTGAGGATACAAGTTATGGAGAATATGTGAAAAGAGGTCAGACTGTCTGGCACATAGTAGTTGCTCACCAAAAACTAGTTTCTTACTCACCTTTCATTAATGAACTGATTCATTTTGTAGCAAAGAGTAAAACTATCAATGAGGAAACATGCATCTTGTTTGAACTTGGACAACAAGACGTGCTGGGAGTAGCCAAGTCTTTGTTGTTGTTGATGCTGTTGTTGTTGTTCTCTCTTGTTTAGTTGACCTAGCTTGCTCTTTGAGTTGTCTTGTAATTCTGCACCCTGTCATGGGGTTGCACTCCTAAAACATATACTGGTTAATACAATTCCTGCGCTAACTTGCCCCCCGAGTAGCCGGAGTTCCTCTAAATGCACCGTAGTAGAATGCTTGACCTGCGCTTGGTTGCAGTCCTCCTGCCAGGTGCCAGCTGCCATGACTGAGCAGTTTTCTACCCCCTCCCTTCCACGCTCTGGCCAGGCTTTCCTGGAACGCCCCGCCCCCCGCCCCGCCGCACAGCTTTCCACACTCACTTGCTAAAGCTACGATTGACCCAAGCAGGCTCCCTTCATTGATCTCAAATCCTGCCTTTGACTTTATCAGGCCAGTTTCAGAATCAGAGTGTGAATGCTCTGTCTCTACTTCAGGGAGGATGAAGAAAGAATTAATTAGAAACACTGGGTTAGTCACTTGGTATAGTATCTTTACCAAAGATGGTCAAAGGAAAAAGAGGGTGATTTTATTCAGGGAGTGATGTATTCAGAATTTTGTCAGCCATACCACATGCAGACCTGTTTGGATTCTACTCTGGGTTTCTTGAACCAGATGTTGGAACATCACAAAGCAAACCAGGCCAATTTCTGGAGCTCCAGGCTATTAGGCACAGCTTCAAGGGTTGGCAGGTCCCGGCTGCTCATGTCTTCCCCCGATAACTGTGCTCTCTGCTGGTTACACTTTCTGTAAAAAGTAAAGGGTGAAGGACTCAGGAAATGCAGTGTAAGTTACCCTCAGAAGTACAGTTGCTTGTGTTAGAATTTTATAGACTGTTCCTATCTGTCATTTCATATATAGCACCGGCTGTTACTTGTCCTCTGCCGAGTCATTTGTATGTCTTCGTTTCTAATTATTAATACATTTCCCCAATACTGTGTGTCACTTATGAACTAATAAAAAAGTCACTTACCATGAATTGGTGAGCAGTTCATGTTTGTGTTCTTGTTTAAGTACTGTGAGTTGGTTGTCAGTCTTGAGGGCAGGGGCTACGTTTTGAGGGGCAGAAGATTTGGGGTCTTCTTAGGAGCAGGGTACTACTGACTCGGAGTCACATTTAGTGCTTATGGACAGTGTTTTTCTTAGAGTGGACAGGCATTGCAAGAAGTTAAAGTGAAATGCTGTATTTAAACCTGCCCTTCCCGGTGGCTCATTAGTAACCCCTGAGGATTGCAGTTTTACCCTTCAAGCTGGGCACTTACAAATTATATTTTATCTGAGCCATTCCTTCTACCTTCCCTTTGTAAACATTAATAATTGGAGATAATTGTTAAAATGACTTAAATGGAGTAACTAACATCTTACCTGTTTTCTGGTGGTATCAGTAATGAGACAAAAATACAGACGGGCAACAAAGGGACAGGTAACCTGACCATCTGATTGAGTGAAGTGGGCATTTGAATTATTTGGGTGGATTTTACAACTTAACTGTTAACTTACTTTTGTTCTTGCTGTTGTTACACATTGAGAGTAAAACTAAATGTGATTTTTCCATTTAAATGCTGATACAAATGTCCAAAACTTTTCTGTTAAATAGTTTTTTACATTTTTATGCATATAGGTTACAACCTGCCATATTCATTCATCCAGTGATGATGAAATTGACTTTAAAGAAACGGGTTTCTCACAGGATTCTTCTTTGCAGCAAGTGAGTCATGCCTAAAGCTTTGCTTTTTGTTTTTATTTTAAATGCTTCGTCTTGTTGCCATCTCTGGGTTCACTTCAGAGGCAGGTTACACACAGGATGTGATTTGGGGCTCCTTACTAGTTAGGCAGAGCGTTCACAATAGGAACTGTTGGGTATATGAGAGGAGCATTTGTACTGATTGTATTTCCAGGAAATGTTTCGTACCTGATAACAACAATGCTGGGTCGGGTAAACTTCCAGATTTGAATGAACGGAATGGTTTTGCAAGTGTCTCAGACGTGCTCGTTATGCAGACCTGTGCAGTAGTTGTGTTTCCGCTTAAAGATTCCTATAGTGGAGACCTGTGGGTAAGAATAATGGGAGTAACACTTTTAATGTCAGTAAAAGTAACTTTCAAAAAAATCTCTGAACTAGATGGCTTACATGTTCCTAATATCTTTAAGGTCTTTTATAGTGACTCCTAAATGAAGTTTCAGTTGAAGTAATTCATTGCCACCCTACCCTCCTACCTCACATTTATCTCCATTTATTAGCTGCTTATACTTTTTGTGGGGGAGAAAACGATATAAAAATACATGCACTGATTTATCCATCACTCATTGGTGGTTCCTGGGGAGGCGACCGATGATTTCGCGATCTTGACTGGGTGTTGGATTTGGGCTTCTATAGTAGAAGCCCCTCGTTCAGTTTACCAGCTCTTCATGTGGAGAAATCATCCTCAGTTGGGACCAGATCTTGGCATGTCAGCTTCTCTGGTGCGGCAATATGACTGATGTCCCCTTCCCACCCAGCACTGACTGTTTGCTTGGCTTCTTTTTTCTCAGTCTTTAAGGCTCATCTCTTGCCAGGGCCAAGGTGAAGCTTCTGATGACTCTGCTGACCCGTCTTTTTGGCATCCAAATAGGCTGTCGTACTCTGGTAAAGGTTGAGCTAAGCAACTGCTTGGTTTTGATACTAAGTCAGTTTAACATTCATGTTTTCAGGACAGGTCTGAAGTGGTTCTTAGCACTTCATTGGCTTCTCCATTGGTTCTTGACATTGCTGCCCTTCGGGAGCTCACCTCCTGGGATTAGGGGCAGGGAGCAACTAGCCCAGAGAGGGAGATGTTGAGCAGCATGGCCTTCTTCCTTGCTGCCGTCCTCTTGCCTTGGCTTGCTGTTGGGCAGCACTGGCCACCCGGGTTGCCCACCTGGCTCATTGTGAGTCCTCGTGCCTACAGGACGAGGCCCCATAGTTCTCTGGTTTTAGCCCAGGAAGCACTTCGACCCTAGCCTTTCTGCCCCACTGAAGCACCTGGAGAGTATTGAAATAGTCTGCTGGGCCTGGCATGAACTCCGGCGCTGCACACTGCTCCACCCCGGAGGTGAAGCTCGGGGCTATAAAATGTAAGTTATCAAGGTGATTCTGAACCTGTTGAAATTGCTTTAAGAAAAGAATGCCCTAACACCTATTTGTAAATAAGCCAATAACTTTGGAACTTTGGGTGGCTGATTTAGTCTAGGAGTGGTAATGTTTAGTTACCTGGAAGGTGGGGTTCCCTTCTCGTGCAGTTTTATTCCATGGCTGTTGTGGGGAGACATTTTTCTGGCGTTTTTTGGGGGTTGACTGACTGCCGACGTGCACGTGTGGCTGTCCCCATCACAGAAGTGTCACACTGGCAGAGCCCTCGGCAGCCTGCTGTCCTGTGGCGGTCATTCGCTTTGTGGAGCCCTCCGAAGTAGGAAAACTCAGTCCTTGCTGCTGGACAGGCCTCTAGTAAAGCTATAAATCAGTCATGGATCATTTTGCAAATAAGAAATACATTTCCAAACGTATTCCACTTTTTTTTTTTTTAATTTGAAAAGACAAGTTTAAGAATTTTATGGTGGTCTCCATTATAATTAGAATATTAGTTTATATATATATCCATTACAGTTTCTCATTAACATTTGAAGTTAGGTCTCATATTGGTAAAGTCCTGAGTGTAGAGACTTAGGACAGGTCATTTAACAAGGTTGCCTGATCATGTCACCATGTTTGACATGGGGCCGTGGGCCGTATTTGGCTCAGGGAATGCCTCACAGCTTTTGTGCCCCTTGACCCATTTGGTTTTGTCTTCTTTCCCTTCTGGTTTCCTCACCTCTAGTGTTTGACTCTTTCCTTCTGATTCTGTCTGAAAGAGGTGTGGAGGGTGAGGAGGTCTTCCTCTTGCCGGATCTGGAGAATTAGGGCTGACTGCTGCAGACGGGCTCCAGAGGCCTGATTGGCTGCCTCCCACTCCCCCATCCAAGCAGGCTTGTTCACAGGCAGTCACATGAGATGGGGCACCTCCAAAGAGATTTGCTTAATAAAGCGGTAGGCTCTCACTTGTCAGTGACTTGAACAGTCCCTGGCTTTGGCCAGGCTGATAGTTCTAGGAAGTGTGGGTTTTGGGGTTTTTTCTTAGTAATGAAGTTTTTAATATTACACAGCCATATGGTGCTTTCCAGACTTGGATTTCTCCATGTCTAGAGTACTTTTTCTATAGCTTTAAATATAATACGGTAACGGTCTTCACGGATGTGGCTTTTGGAAGCTCTGATAGCTTTATTAGTAAAAATTGTATTTGAAACCTGAAGTTCTTTGCTAGCTTGTATCTTCCTAGAAGCTGTAATAGACTTAGAACAAATGAGGACTACAGTTTGTTGTTTTTCTTTTTCCTCTGAGTTACTGCATGGAAGTTACTTGGGTCTGTCAGTGGCTTTATCTCCCTAGGTAGATGAATGAATAGATAGAGAGACAGACAACGTAAGTATGTGTATTCACATGTATACATTTATAATGTATTTAGTATTTGCATGCTCTTTATGAAGCATTTAAAGAAACGCTTTTGGGAACATTTCTTTCCTTTTGTACCCAAAAAGATTCATAATACAAATAACCAGTGTCACAAAAAAAGTAAAAGGGAAAAAAAGGATCAAACGGAACAACTGGGGAGGGACATTTTCCCTTGTGTGACCAAGTTTCTAATTGTAAATAAACTGAGAGCCTGGCTTATGCCGCTTGCTCAGAAGAATGATTTCATGATTCTTAACCATGAAGGTGGTTTTACCATTTTACCTTATAAAAGATAAAGATGCAATTCAGAGGAATTGGCTTCTTTCTTGTTGGTTTTTATGAATATGAGTACTGCATACCATATTTTTCATTCATATGTCCAAGACTCAGCCCTGCCTGGCAGAACTTGTCCCTGCCTTTCTCCGTCCACCAGTTCTCCCCTGGCTCAGCCTTGGTGTGCCTTACCAAGTGCGCTCCTGTGAGGCTGGCCCCCCGGCCCCCATGTTCAGACAGTATCCCCTCTGTGGGCAGGAAAGGGGATGGCATGGAAGTGTGCGAGTGAGCAGAGGAGCGGTGGGGCTCTCGAGTTAGAAAAAAGTGAGGTTTTAGGTTCTGAGTAAACTAGATACCACTTTTTTCAGACCTAAGGAAGAGATGCCTTCCAAAGCCAAATATAAGGTTTATTTTTTAATCATCTTCAATTTGGATTATCCATGCCATAATTCCCTGCCACCAGAATGAGTAAACAGGAATTAATGGTAGAGGCATTTTTGCAGCAGATGTCTGCAGGGTGGGATCTGTGGGCTGTGCTCAAAAGGAGAACCAAGGAGGATTCGGTTTCACTCAGTTGTAGCTGCCTCCATCCCAGCAAGTGGCCTCAGGTTGATGTCTTTAGTTCAGCCACCAGCTACTGCTCATGCCCCTGGTATGGGGCTCACCTGGAGGAAAAAGCTTTCTCATCTGTCCAGAGCTCTGTCCACAAGACAGCACACATATTGTTGTTTATTTGCCTCTGTATTTATTGTTTGGGGTAGAATGAGGAGTGGCACTTGCTTATCTTCATTGTCCTTCACTCCTGACTGATAATGTACAACACATTCGCGCATCTCTCTTGCTCCACTGGGCCTGCTTGTTTTAAATCAGAAGATCAACATTTTTGTGAAGTCCATTTTAACATTCCCCCATTTCTCACCTAAGAAAACCCAAATGAGCCTGGTGCTCTCTAGAAATGGCGTAGGAGACAGAACAGGTTCCTCTATGGATCTTACAGTTGTAGGCTTCTCAGAGTGATGTCGGATCAGTGTTAACACTTTGTCCTCTCTCTCTAAGGTAGGTAGGGTAGAAATTACTTTCATACTCTTCCCAGCCTCTGAGACAGAAGTCTTTTTTTTAAGAAAATGAAGTGTTTCTGAACTTTGTGTTGTAGGATTCTGATTGTGATTCTTAGTTGTTTGACCTCTGGTGCGATGTTACTGTAGTGGATTGGGGGTGGGACATACAGAGGGAGGTCGGGTGGTCACCACTTACTGGATCTTAGGTTAAGGTTGGTTGTGTCCAGAGGTGATTGATACATCTTATAATTTCAGACTGTCATGTGTCACTTGATCACCTCTTTGAACAAGACTTAACCCAGACCTCTCTCTAAAGATAATTCTCAATAGAGGACAGAGTGGTCACTTAACATTGCTTATAGTGACATGTGCATTAGAATGACTTGTGGGCCAAATTCCAAACATTTCCCTTTTTGGGTAAATTGTGTCTGAAATTATTTGATTTTTTTTTTTTTTTCTTAGAAAAACACACCAACTTTTTAAGCCCTAAGGCTGTAATAAATAAGATGGTTTCTGGAACACAAATGGGCAAATAGTATGTAGAATGTCATTAGAATCATTATATCACTGTCACTGGTCCTGGGGTTGCCAGGCCTTTTCTGATTATCAGATGCAACAAATGACGTCCAATTTTATTGACCAGTTTGGCTTCAACGATGAGAAGTTTGCAGATCAAGATGACATTGGCAAGTGAGTATATTTTCATGTTTCCCTCTCTCATGCACTCCTGCTTCTCGTGAGACACGTTGTGATTCTCCTGGGCTCTGGGCACTCTTCCACATTCATGTATTGAGAGGAGCCTGTCCTCCCAGGTGTCCCTATAGCTCTGGCCTGTCGGGCACTGAAGCAGCCAGAGGACAGGAAGGGATGAGAGCATCACTCCCGCTCAGAGGGGCTGCCGCTGGGCGTGGCCTCTCACAGAAGCTTGTTCATACTTAGACTGAGCTTCTCCCGGGAACTGGAATCGCTGCTCTGCCCCTTTCCATTGTCGTGCTGGTTAGCGTGACGCAGAGTAGCAAGTCCCTGCTGTAGTTGGTGGTTCCCTCCCACCAGCAGCTGGGATCCTGTTGTGGCAGGAGCAGCTCCCCATGTGGCTTCTCTGGTTGACCCACCGTAAGGGAGGGTTGGGTGTTGGGAAGGCAGTCAGGCCACTCGTTCTGCAGGCGGGGGAAGAGGAGCGGCGAGATGGGGATGATTGGTACTATACCAAATTAATGAATGAAAAACGTTGTGGGTGGTCCACAGCAATGAAAACAAATGGCCTAGCATCTGGCCTCAGGAAAGGAGAGGTATTTATGCATAAAGTATTTACGAGGGGGTATTCTAGCTCACTGAGGACAGACTTGAATATCAGATGGCTTCTCTCACGGGGCAGTGCCCGATGGTGCTCGTCAGCACCCGGTGCGTGTGTGGCTCCTTGCTCGCAGTTGAGCGCCAGCCGGCGGTGCTGTCTCCTATCACCAGGGGTAGTTTCTAGCACGTGAGAAGCCCCGATTGTACTGTGCGACTTGCTGTGTGAGCGCGGTGGATGGAGGCTTCACTGTAAGCAGAGTAAGGGTTAAAGGCTGTTGGCTGCCCTAAGAATCAGCTTGTTTAGATCCAAAAAGAACAAGGACTGTCCACGTGGTGTTTTATGTCTGTGCGCCAGAGGCACTCACACCAGAGCCTGCAGGCTCCCCTATCTCCACGCTCAGTAAATGTTACTAGTTAGGAATCCGTCTCTTTAAAATTTATATTGGGTGCTTGGAATAATGATTGATTAGAACAGATCTTGTAAGAATTATACTTACAAAGTTAGCGTTCATGGGCTAGGAGTTTTTACCCCTCCTTTCTTCCTGATTATGCCATATTATAGGATTTGGGGGAAGTCTATTCTGTGTATAAATTTGGCCATCCCTGGAGAAAGTTCAGTGTCTGACAGCTCTTGGGTACTTTTTTATGTTTTTGACTTATTTCTTCTTTGCTAATAGCCTATTTCTTGGCCAAGTAAGTATGGCCCAGGGAACCATGGTTGTTACCGTGGATGTTAAAAATCTTTTATAGGAAGGCTTCAAGGGTGTGTTTATTCTGTCTTAAAGGCCTCCCTGCCTGCCTTTCCACCCTGTATGAGTTCCTTAATACCAAGGAAAGAAGCATCATTTAATGCAAGCAGGTTTTTGTTTTGCTTGTGGAGATTTTAAATGATAGTGTGAATATTTTAAATTTGAAATGTTTTGTGAATAGTTTCTGTTAGTCTATAGGTAATTAACTATTCCTATACTTATATTTTGTTTACAGTGTTTCTTTTGATCGGGTATCAGACATCAACTTTACTCTGAATACAAATGAAAGTGTAAGTATTAATGCTTCGTCTCATGAGCAACAAGGTATATGAGGGGTGGACCAGGGGGAGCTGGGATCCATCAGAGTATGCATACAGATGCCGCATGCGCCGGGACCCTCTCCGAGAGCTCCAGGAAACTTCATCTTAGGCTGGTATTACTTCACCAACTCACATGACCTTCATGCTCCCTGTGGGTGTGAGTTTGCAACCATGGTTTAAGATATGGCAGGGCTGAGAAAACCCGGGTCACTTGTGATTGCAATGTAGACATGTAGCTTCAAATACTGCAGTTTGGGTCCAGCCAGCCGCCTTTTACTTCAGCTGTATGTCACCAGGAGAAAAACTTGGGCTAGATCAGGGCCAGCTTGTCATCCCTAGGCAGGGCTCAGACACCAGGTCAGCCCCGTTAGCAGGTGATGTGGGATTAGTGTTATTTGAGTGGGCACAGTCTTGATTTTTATGTTAATTAACATGAGAGACCACTGGTTTATTTGCTGATGTGATAAGGTGGAAACTCCTGATTGCACTGTTGACACTCATCACTGCAGAGCCGGACTGGTAAAAGCAGAGGAGATGTAGGTTGCTTTCCTATTAGGGCAGATGTGGGACTGTATCTCAGGTGGTGGGGCAGGGAAGCTCTCGGAAGTAACCCAGTGCTTTACCAGATGAGAGCGAGTCCGTGATGACAGTGTAGACTCCTATATGGGCCTTTTGAATCCAATCTTTTGGGGGGAGCGTCTTTGAAGTTTTGAATCCATTCTTTTTGGGGGAACTCTGTTACATAAAAGCTGACATTAGATGCTTTTACATCTTATTTTGGTGTATATTAGGCACTGTCTTTAAAAGGAAATGAAGGGGGCATCTGGGTGGCTCAGTCAGTTAAGCATCCGACTTGATTTCAGCTCAGGTCATGATCTTAGGGTTGTGATATCAAGCCCTGCATTGGGCTCCACGCTCTGTGGCGAGTCTGCTTGAGATTCTCCCCCTCTCCCTCTGTCCTTCCCCCCACTTGTGTGTGTGCACTCGCTCTCTAAAATAAATCTTCAAAAAAGAAAAAGGAAATGAAAAACACAATTTATATCGGTAACTTTTGGAGGAAATAACTTGATTTTTAAGTTTGTTTTGTTCTTTTTCTCTCACTTGTTTTTATTTAGGGAAATATTGCCTTGTTTGAAGCATGTTGTAAGGAGAGAATACAGCAGTTTGATGATGGTGGCTCTGATGAGGAAGACATCTGGGAGGAAAAGCACATTGCCTTTACACCAGAATCCCAAAGACGATCCAGGTGAAAGAGTGTGTTACAGTAGCAGTAATACCCAGTGCATAAAGTAAATGATGGTTAGGAGACATATACTGTATCCTGTGCAGATGTATATATGTGACCTAGAGACCAGTGCTTCTGTCATGATCAGAAATACCCTTGTTTTGGGGCACCTGGGTAGCTCAGTCAGTTGAGCGCTCAGGTCTTGATCCCATGGTTGTGAGTTTGAGTCCCACATTGGGCTCTGCACTGGGTGTGGAGCCTACGTAAAGAGAGAGAAAGAAATGCCCTTGTTAGCTGATGTGAGGTGGTACCGTACTCCTGTCTGCAGTGTGACAGGATGTGGATGAGTGAAGGTGATGAACTTGAAAATGCTGGAAGTGTTTAGATAGTTCATAAAGCGGCAGGACACAGCCTCTTCTGAATGGGAGGTGTTGCTGAGCAATGTAGTATAAAGTGCTCTGAGTAGATGTTCCCTTACCAGGAACAAATGGCAGCAGCTGAGTTATGTATTGTTTCCTATGAAAGACTAAAAGTTTCCCCAAGAAAGAGAAAAGTTGTTTTGTTTTTTTTTTAAAGATTATGTTTATTTATTTGACAGAGAGAGACACAGCGAGAGAGGGAATACAAGCAGGGGGAGCGGGAGTGGGAGAGGGAGAAGGAGAAGCAGGCTTCCTGCCAAGCAGGGAGCCTGATGCAGCGCTTGATCCCAGGACCCTGGGATCATGACCCGAGCCGAAGGCAGATGCCTAACGACTGAGCCACCCAGACGCCCAGAGAAAAGTTGTTTCTTTTTTTTTTTTTTTTTTTAAGATTTTATTTATTTAACAGAGAGAGACACAGCGAGAGAGGGAACACAAGCAGGGGGAGCGGGAGAGGGAGAAGCAGGCTTCTCACCGAGCAGGGAGCCCGATGCGGGGCTCGATCCCAGGACCCTGGGATCATGACCTGAGCCGAAGGCAGACGCCCAACGACTGAGCCACCCAGGCGCCCCAGAAAAGTTGTTTCTAAAAGTTAATCTAACTTGGGGAGACAGAGTCCTGTCTCCTTTGGGATCAGTCCAGTTGGTTTTTTAATTTTTCTTCCTCTCTAATTTGTTGAAGTTACTCTAGCCCAAGAACCTATATACATTTTTGCTTCAGTACACAGGGAGTTCTTGTTATCTGAGTATCCATTACTAGAACCTTCGTAGTTGAGAGAATAGCAGCTGAACCTTCATTTTTATTTTTTTTTATTTTTAATAAGTAATGTTTCCACATGGCATACCATTCAGAGAAAACAGGATATACAGTGGAAGTCAAACTCCCTCCCGGCCCCTGTCCCCTGGCCATTTATTCCTCTTGGGGAACAGAGCATGCCAACATCACCTGCCTGTTCTCTGCGTGCCCAGCGGTTATGTCGTGTTTCTTAGGAAGGCTTCTTGCTTTAGGTTACAGAAGACCCAGCTGTGGCTCAAACCAGGGAAAGTGTACTTGTCTCATGATCCACAGCTGTTGAAGGTCATTAAACCTAGCTTTTTTTATGCCCACTTTTCCATCTTTTTTTTTTTTTTTTTAAATATTTTATTTATTTTTTAGAGAGCGAGCGAGAGAGAAACAGCATGAGAGGGGAGAGGGTTAGAGGGAGAAGCAGGCTCCCCGCTGAGCCGGGAGCCCGATGTGGGACTCAATCCTAGGACCTCGGGATCATGACCCGAGCTGAAGGCAGACGCTTAACCATCTGAGCCACCCAGGCGCCCCCCATCTTCTGCACATTGTAATCACAAGGTAGCTGCAGCTGCAGGAGCAGGAAGCAAGAGACAAATACCTTCGTGATGATTTTTTTTAATTTAATTTTTTTTTTAAGATAAAGCCCCAGTCAGACTTGTTTGTCACCATTTGCTATGAAATTTTGGTCCTCATGTTGAGTGAATTCACTAAATGGCCATTGCCTACTGCCATCTATGCTCTGGGGGCAGACTGTCCTCACACGTTGTTACAGCATTGCGGCACTGTTTGTAGAGAGTGTAGGGGGAAGTATGGTGGTGAAGACAGTATCTGAAGGACGTGACAGTTGATCCCCAGAAGGAACACAGGATGATGAGAAAAGGCAACTTTTTATTATTTTTTAACAGCTCTGTTGAGGGATAATTGACATATAATAAATTATATAAGTTATACAGTGTGATAAGTTTGGACATATGAATATATCCATGAATACATCCATGAAACCATCATCTCAATCAAGATTATGAACTTACCCATCACCCGCAAAAGTTTCCTCCTGTCCTTTTATATTGCCTTCTCCCATCTGCTTTTTGTTCCTTTAGAATGATTAGTGTTTTCTAAAGTATTATATAAATCAAATTACGTATTACCTACTTAATGTTGCTTCTTCCACTTAACATTATTTTTGAGAGTCATTCATGTTGGGTGATGTATCAGTAGTTCATTCTTTTTTTATGGTTGAGTAGTGTTCCATCGAATGCGTGTACTACTCACCGAGTGGGTGAATTTGTTTATTCATTTGCCTGCTGATGGACATTTGGGTTTCTAGTTTTGGGGTATGATTCACTTGAGAATAGACTCTGGTAAGTTATGGATGTATATTGTGGGCCCTAAGGCAATCACTCAGCAACAAAACAAGAAATTATAGTTAATAAGCCAACAAAGGAAATTAAATCATAAAAACTATCTAAAAGAGGGCAAAAAAATAAAAGGCAGCTGGGACACACAGAAAACAGCTAGCAGTACGATAGCATTAAAACTAGGCAGCCCCATCAGGAATCATTGAATACTATTAAATAAGTGATCCCAAAACCCCAGTTAAAGTGAAGAGATTGTCAGATTGGATAAAAAATCAGGTCTCACATATGCTGCCTATGAGAAATAATTGAAATATAAAGACACAAACAGGTTAAAAGAAAAGGTAGAACATCTACCTATTTAATAATAAAGCAGATTTCAGAGGAAAGGGGTAAAGGAAGGGTCATAACAGGGTCAGGTCTTTAGGAAGACATAACACTTTGAAATGCCTATGTACCTAATAACAGAGCTTCAAAATACACGGAGCAAAAGCTGAGAAAACTGCAAAAGAAGTAGACAAATCCACAGTTCTGGTCCTGTGCTCCAACACTCCTCCTCCGGTGATGGATAATGGGCAGAAATCAGCCAAGACCCAGAACACATAATACTGTCAGCTTTCGTGACGCTGCTGGACATTTGCAAAGCTCCCCACCCAGCAGCAGCAGGACAGGCACTGTTTGCAAGGGTCACAAGATATTCATGCCAAGAGAGATCATATTCGGGCCATAAAGCCAATCTCAGTAAATTCCAAAGGTTTCAAGTCCTACAAAGTATGTTCTCTGACACCAGTGAAATTAAATTAGAACTCAGTAACAGGCCCCTAGAAAACCTCCAAATATGTGGAAACTAAGTAACAAGTGAGTTACAGAAGAAATCAAAGGGGGTATTCAAAGGATCATTTTTTTACTGTTTATATTAAGAAAGCAGAAACCTCTCAAACCAGTGACCTTTGCTTCCACCTCAAGAAACCAGAATGAAGGGCAAACAGAACAACAGTGGAGGAAATGGTTGCAGTCAAAAGCTGTTCTTTGAGAAGATTGAGGAAGTTGATGCTCCTCTGGGCAGAATGGTCAGGAGAAAAAGGAATGGCTCGTCCCAGGAATGAGCCAGGTGACATCACTGCTGGTACTAAAAGAATAAAAAGAGAATATTGTAAACAACTCTGTGCCAATAAACCTAACAACTTAGACAATCTTTGAAAGACACAGGCTACCAAAACTCAAAACAAAAAGAAAAAAACCCCAAATAGTCCTTTATCTACCAAAGAAGTTGAATTTTTAGTTTAAAACTTCCCACATACACACAAAAACTCCAGGCCCAGATGGTTTCTCTGGTGAATTCTACCAAACATTTCAGGAATTAGACCAGCTTTATAAAAGCTTCTAGAAAATGGAAAAGAAGGGAATAGTGCCCATGTCATTCTGTGAGGCCACATCAATGTGACCTGATAACCAAAGCTGCCATGACAAGAAAAATGACTCAGTTATTCTCATAATGTGGATGCAGAAACTCTCATAATATGGTTTTAGTAAATAAATGCAACAATAATACATCATGACCAAGGAAGGTTTATTTCAGAAATATGAGTTGGTTTAACATTTGAAAATCAATCAATAAGCATGTGGCTGAATCCAACATCTATACCTGATAAGAATTCTTAGCAAACTGGAGACAGAAGAGAATTTCTTTAACGTGATTAAAGCTTCTACAATAAATCTACAGCTGGCAGCACAGTAAAAACGGAATGATTTCCCCCAAAGATCGGGAAAAAGACAAAAGATGTTTGCTCTTACCACAGCTTTTCAGGATTGTTGCTGGGGCTTCTCACCAGTACAATAAGTCAAGAAAAAGAAAAGCCATCTAGATTGGAAAGGAAAGGGTAAAAATTATCTTTCTTCACAGACAACAGTTCTTGTCCATGTAGAAAATTTGTTGTTGAAATCTACGAAAAGTAGGTTTGGCATGATTGCATGGTGCTAGGTCTATATAATTGTAGTTCTATACAGTTCCAACAAACAGAATTGAAGTTATTAAATAATCCTATTCATAGTAGCATCAGAATATTAAATATGTAAGGATAAATCTGGCAAGATGTGTTAAGACTTGGACACAAAATTACAAGGCAGCTGAGAGAAATAAGAATTGATGAATGTTTATGATTTGGAACTCAATATTGTTAACATGCCCATTCTCCCCAGATCTAGAATCAGTGTAATCTCAAGTAAGATGATAATAGGTTTTTTAGTAACTGTCGACAAGCTAGTACTTAAATTCAAATGAAAATGCAAAGGAGCTAGAAGAGCCAAAACAGCTTTCATAAAGAATGGAATTAGAAGACTCCCGACAGTACCTGATTTCAAAATATAGTAATTGAGATCTAGTGTGATCAGTAAGACAGAATAGTTCTGGGGACTGAAAAGAGTATAAATTAAGTAGGCTTAGAGGCAGCTGACTTCTGATGCAGGTGCAAAAGCAGTTCCGTGGAGAAAGGATAGTCTTTTGAACAGATAGTTCTGGAACAGGTGAACATCTGTATGCAAAATGCTCAGTCCATACCTTTTACCATATATACACATGGATTCCAAATTCCATATATACATGGATTCCAAACGGATCTTAAACCTAAATGTGAAGCGTCAGACTATAAAACTTACAGTAGAAAATCCTTGTGACCTTGGGTTAGGGAAAGATTTCTGAAATAGGATGCCAAAAACACTGCATGAAAGGAAATTTTCATAAGCTCAACCTTGTCAAAGTTAAGCACTTCTACTCGGCTAGTGACACTAGTAAGAAGGAAGGGACGGTGCATAGACTTGGGGAGGACATTTGCAATCATGCGCCTGACACAAGGCTTCTCTGGAGGGTGCAGAAAGGACTCTCAGGGCTCTGTAAGAATTAAAGACAGTAACCTATTTCTTAAACTGTACTACAGATGTGAGAAGACCCTTCAGAAAAGATGTGTGGGTGGGAGATGGGCACATGAGAAGCAGCTCAGCATCTTGGCCATGAGGGAAGTGCAAGTGAACACCACAATGAGATACCTCTAGGCCCTCTTAGAAGGCGGTTTGTAGATGTGCCCCAAACGTTCGCGCAAAGCCAGGGGCCAGTGGGAACAGCTGAGAGCAGTTAGGCGGCACACTCACGAAGGCAGGAATGAATCAGTTGACGTGCATATGATTTTTTCTTACTGGATGACCTTCAGAATGTTCTGGATTTAGGTGATGACTGACAGGCAGCATTAACTATTTCGGTCTCCTCCCACCCCCCACTCCCCAGCTCGGGGAGTACAGACAGTGAAGAAAGTACAGACTCTGAAGAAGAAGACGGAGCGAAACAAGACTTGTTTGAACCCAGTAGTGCCAGCACAGAGGATAAAATGGAGGTAGACTTGAATGAACGTAAGTCATCTTCTTTTCATCTGTATTAGTCACTGTGTGTTGGAAATGTGTTTTAAAACGAGGCATTCTAGGGGCGCCTGGGTGGCTCAGTCGTTAAGCGTCTGCCTTTGGCTCAGGTCATGATCCCAGAGTCCTGAGATCGAGCCCCGCATCGGGCTCCCTGCTCCTCGGGAAGCCTGCTTCTCCCTCTCCCACTCCCCCTGCTTGTGTTCCCTCTCTTGCTGTGTCTCTGTCAAATAATAAATAAAATCTTAAAAAAAAAAAAAAACAAAAACGAGGCACTCTGATCTGCAGGATGGGAGTTAGGTTGAAACACAGTCTTCTGAGTCCCCTTGGAGGTGTGTCAGGATGGGGCCTGAAGGAAAGAGCAAGTTGTCCCTCTGATGATGGGGTGTGTCTAACAATGTGGACACCCCCCCCCATGTGGGTCTGGCTAGAGGTGCAGCACACTGTGGTGGGATGGGGTTGGGGGGGTGGTCCTAGGCTCTGGCTGCAGAGCCTGGGTGCCTGGCAGCAGGGGAGAGACCAGAGATTATGGAAGACAAGGAAAGGCTATGTTTGTGGAATCGGGAATGCACTAAACCAGAGGCAACCTCCTCAAGCTGAAACTATTTGAAATGGGTTCTTCAGAGTTGATTGAGGAAGCCTATAACCCTAGAACGTGTGTGGCCTCAGTGCTTGTTTGTGTCCTGCTACTTGCTAAGAAGACTTGCGTTCGCTGGCCTTTAAAAAATACCTGTTAAGGGCGCCTGGGTGGCTCAGTTGGTTAAGCGACTGCCTTCGGCTCAGGTCACGATCCTGGAGTCCCGGGATCGAGTCCCGCGTCGGGCTCCCTGCTCGGCAGGGAGTCTGCTTCTCCCTCTGACCCTCCCCCCTCTCATGTGCTCTCTCTCATTCTCTCTCTTTCAAATAAATAAATAAAATCTTTAAAAAAAAAAAAAATACCTGTTAACCTCTAAACATTCAAATACATTTTTCTGTGGGTTGATATTGGGGCTTTCTTCTGGGCCGAGAGTGTGTCCTGTTCCCCAGGAAGGCCTTCATATACTCACTCCTGGAGGCTGAAAGCCAGCTCGGGGTGCCGGGTGGGCCTTATCACCCCAGAGCTGGCCGGGACCTTAGCAGTAACCCAGCACAGCCCCACGGGACAGAGCCGGAAAGTGAGAGCCCTGGAGGAAAAGAGGTTTGGCCTCTCTCCTCTCATTGCTTCCCCAGCTCACCATCTTCAGGAGGAAGAAATGGGCTTTCCTCTCTGTAATTCAGTTCTAGTCTACATGGCTTTGTCAAGTTCCGGCTGCGTACCAGGTGTGGTACACAGACTCTGTATCCAGGGGTCTAGAGTCTCTTGAGGAAACAGAGATTGTGGTAGATTCTGGGGCACTCTCCAGGGAAGATCATTTCTGTGTAGCCTAGAGTCGTGTGCAGTGAGAGCATATGAACAGAGACCTGAGTTCACCTGAAGGGACATATCTCTGAGGAGGTGACGTTTAAACAGACCTGCAGGTTAGATCCAACCTCGGCCGGCAGCCAGCGCGGTGAGGCTGTTTTAAAGGATAGACGTGAGCAGCCAGATGAAGGGAGAAATAGAGACATGGGCGGGCAGGGTCCCAAGCATAGGATCTTATCTTCTGTTCCCATGGAGCTTGGGATGTACCTGCTGTTCACCAGCCCAGAAGCTCTGAACCCCTGAAGTTTGAGTTTTTTATGGAATCTTCATTAAGTAGACATGTTTGATTAGATCATTGGCCATTTGTGATTTCCTTTACTTTCTGCCCCTCTTCCCTCCTAGGAGGGTGGGCTATGGGGTTGGGCTGAAAGTTCCAGGCCTCTAACCACTGGCTGGTTCCCCTGGCAACCAGCCCCATCCTGAGCCCCATCCTGAGGCCACCAGTCATTCTTTAGCATACAAAAAGACACTACTTCAGGGATTCCAAGGGTTTGGGGGTGGTAGTGAGTGGACCCCAACTATGTATTTCTTATGTCACCAGAAGCCTTCCTGTTTGTGCTAACTACGCTGGACTGCAGGGAGGCCATTAAAAGTATGAACTGGGGCCATGTCTGGATTGGGAAGCATTTAAAGTTTCCAATTTATTGCAGTTGAATATCCAACATTCTGCTTTTTTTTTTTTTTTTCTAAACTATTTTGGAATAACTTTGGATTTACGGAAAAGTTGCAGAGATTGTACAGGGAGCGGCTCTGCACCCTTCCTTCACCCCTCTTCCTCCCCGCGTTAATAGACTCTCGGTACATTTGTCAGAAGTAAGAAGTTAGCGTATTCTTTTATATATAGCTTTGCATCCTCGTGTGATATTTCTATTGGAGAAAAAAAATCTTAGAAATGGGAGTTAAGGGATTAAGGGAACCTACAGTTTTTATAACAGGATAGATGTTCTCACATTGTCCTCCAAGTTATTGTGCTGTTTCTGCTCCTACCAGTGGTGTGATAGAGTGCCCTGTCCCCACCACTCTGGCCTTTATCATCGTGAATCTGTTTCTGAAAAATATCTTGAAGTCCACTGAACTTTTGAAGTATTCTCAAAAGGAGATGTCTCCCCTCTTTTTAGCACCCAACTGGTCAGCCAACTTTGATGTCCCCATGGAGACAACCCATGGTGCTCCCTTAGATTCTGTGGGGTCTGATGTCTGGAGCACAGAGGAGCCAATGCCAACTAAGGAGACAGGCTGGGCCTCTTTCTCAGAGTTCACGTCTTCCCTGAGGTGAGTGCACGTGTGCCAGCTCCCTCAGCCTTTCTGTAGGAGAACTGGGGATGGCGTGTCACCTTGATTTACTCCCTTCCTGAAGGTGGTGCCCTACACAAGATCACAAATCAGCATGGGGGAAATAGTGACCCAGCTACGAATTACAAGGAAACCAGTCTCCGTCCTCCTTCCTTTTATCCAGGATGAGCTGGGAAAGGCAGTAGGCTGTGCACAAAGTAGCCCGGGACAGTGTGGCCCCAGGAGGTGACGTAGCAGGGTGCCGGCTCCTGGGGCTTCTCTAGCCCCACCGAGCTATCAGAAAACAGGGTTGAGGAGAATAGGAACGAGGTGGAACCAAGAACTCCTGACAGACACCTCTCTGTGGAGCGTTACAGAAGATGCAGAATGTATCGTGAATTTAACAGATAATAGGAACTTCTGTTCCCTTGTAGCTAGGCTGGTGCTGTAAATTAAGGGGCATGACAGGGATGGCTGTCAGTCTTGTTATTTGTAGTATTCTTGATGACAGCAACCTGGCATTTCATAATTTTCCTGAATCATATTGCCAGCATGTGAGTAGTAATCATGGATTTCATGTCTTACTAGACTTAGTTTGATTTGCTAAACATTGTTTTCTTTATCTCCACCACCCCATTTGAAAGACTTTGTTGCTTTCCCTGCTCTGACAAGTAATGTTTTTAACTAATCACTGGTAATAGGCAAGCCAGGAGCACAGACTGTTAGGAGCTCGTGGTTACCGTCTTCAACCAGAGAACTGGCTAAAACCCACGTGGCTTTACGGCAGCTCTAGGGATAGCAGGAAGCTATAGTTCAGGGGCAAAAGTGAGATTTGTGGGAAATGTCTCCAAAGTATTGTAAATTATTTCACGGACTCAGTTCTAGCACTGGACAGTCGAGTTTCCACCTCTTGCTTTCTTCTGTCTTTTGTAACTAGGGCATACGAGCCCTTGGTTACTGGGACTGTTGTTGAAGCAGCTCACTTCCCTTTACCCCTTGTGCACAGCTCATGTTTTCTCGTTAAGTATCATTGAGGCCCGCAGGCAGTTTGGCTTAGTGTAAGTAGGGATTTTCTTTTCCTAAGATCGGCACCGCGGTGTGCTGTCAGCCCCTGCTGTCCCAGCCCTGGGCGCCTGGTGACAAGGGCAAGGATGAGAGGCTGGTGCATTTTGAACCTTTCTGCAAACCTCTACGAAACCTGCATGCCCCTGTGCTGCTGACTTAGCGGGCTCTTTGCCTACACATGCTCACCTGCGCTGCAAGCAGCATTCTGCACCTAGATCTGTCTGTCTCTGTCCGTGGGCTCTGTGACCGACTGCCCGTGTCACCCCAGTGGGACCAGAGCTGCCTTTCAGAGGGTTTTTGTGAACCATGTAACTGAGGGCTATTTGCCATTGCTAACATCTGAATTTTCTCTTTTCTAAAAGTACAAAAGATTCTTTAAGGAGTAATTCTCCGGTGGAAATGGAAACCAGCACCGAGCCGATGGGCCCTCTGACTCCCAGTGTTGCCACACTGGCCGCACAGCCAGAAGGTAGGTGTGGGGAGCAGGGCACCAGCTGACACAGCCTGCTGGCCGCTTGGCTGAGGTTGCTCAGGCTTGGGCTGTTTGCTTAGTTTTCTAGATCTAAACACTTGTTTCTGTCCACATAACAGTTTATAAAGCCAGTCTTGACTCACCGGCTCAAGGGCTCAAAGGAGTTAGGGAGTTGAGATGGTGGGTCTGAGGTCCGCAGGACAGCCGATGAAAAGAAATTACGTATTCATTCCAGAACCAGGCATGGTGATTCTAGAAGGCATAAGGGATCTGTTATCAGTTGTTCAGTCCTGTCAGTGTACAGAAATGGAAACAGGCTCAGAAAAGAAGAATGTCTTAGTCTGCAGTGCCCAGTGTGAATAAAATCAGAATTAGGTGTGTGTGTTTTCAAGCCCGTCTGGTACCCAATTCTTTTGTCACTTGGAGTTTGCTTTACTGGAGCGCACATGGGTGTCTCGGCATGTTTCAGGCTGTAAGGCTGTTTATTTTCTTCTCACCTTTATGAACAGTTGAGATGGTCAGGGGTATCCAGTGGGTTGTCATGTTCAAACTGCACACGTTGTTCCTTGCAGAGACCCTGAGCTCTTTTCAGCCTAATGAATGGGGCTTGGGAGGTGAGAGGAGAGGGAGGTTGGTGAAGGGGGGTGAGGAATCAGTATGTGGAGGGCAGAAAGAATTAAGTCCTTAGAAAAAGAAAGGGGGACATGGGGGGGGGGCACAAGAACCAAGGGGTAAGAGAGGTAATAAAACCAGTAACTAATGTTGGTTTTGTCATTCTTCTAAACATTTTATATAGATGACCCCGTTTTATCTCTCAGTTCTTCAAGTGGGTTTAATTAACTTCATTTTATAGATAAGAAAAATCTTGCCCCAGAGTGATACAGCTAGTAAGTGGTGAGGCTGGGGTTTGAATTCAGGGAGTGTGACTTGAGAGCCCAAGCTTATAACTAGTATAGCATATGGCTACCTATTACAGAACAAAGAAATAACCCACAAGGAACCATAAGAAAGTAACTTAAAGACCCAAGTGGGACCCAACTGAAACGAAAAGGACGAATGAGAATAGTAGCCTGAATAAACTGTAACATCAGGGGACGCCTGGGTGGCTCAGTCGGTTAAGCGTCTGCCTTCGGCTCAGGTCATGATCCCAGGGTCCTGGGATCGAGTCCCGCATCGGGCTCCCT